TAGCTGTTTTGACGTTGCTAATGGTGCTAGCAGAGTTAATTAATAATGCTAAACGGGTAAACGCTAAACGCAAGCTAGCTCCCACCTTACCCAGGTAATACACAGTACAGAGCAGTGGCAGCTAGCAAACCAGTGAATTAATACCTCATTAGCTTTGTTGTGGTACAGCATAGTGCTAGAACCAGTTCTGAAGAGTAGCAAAATTAACCTATAAACTAACGTGTAAACAGTCAAAAATATTCTCAGTGGTTACCCACGGATGGGTAATGTTGCACGTATAGAGTAATTTCCTGCTGTAAAAGAACAAAACAATAATTTAGTCAAATCTATTACCAAATCTGTTCATGTTAACATTCATCACAGTCCACAGACAGGATTTTAGCCTCCTCTGCTTACTGTAGTTGTGTGCACCCACAGTTCTCCTGTGCATTGAGCGATTAGTTACAGGTGCACTCCCTTTGTGTTTTACATCTAAACAAGGTAGTAGCTAATTAATCTATGTAAACTGTTGGCTTGTTTACAACCTGTCTGGTTGGTGAGTGCAACAGCATCATTATTGATCCAATCAATTACCAGACCTATGAAAATAAAAGCCAAGTTGTAATATGTTGTAGTTTTTACCAGGCAGGATAAAGAAGAACATTAAGGACTAATTTCCATGGCATTGTTTTAATCCTCGACACAAGACTTAAGCATTTCAAAGGAAACACTTTCTGCAGTATAGTGGGTTTTTCTACATTCCTACTTCTTTGCTCTGTAAAATTAAGTTGAAATCCTCACCTGCCATCCAGTCATTATTGTCATTATATTGTCTGAAATTCTGCATTGTTGAAATCTCATATGTAATTAGTTTGTCTAGAACTGACAGCTGGCATTTTCAAACACATGTAGTGAATATTTCAAATAATTGGGACTAAGACAAACTGCAGCTAATGACTTCAGCATCTCTGGGAAATTAAACCAGATTTAATCCATCTATGATAAATTGAGTTATTGGACATAATATTTTTGCAGCTGTGTGTGTGTGTGTGTGTGTGTGTGTGTGTGAGTGTGAGTGAGAGAGAGAGAGAGAGAGAGAGAGAGAGAGAGAGAGAGAGAGTCACTGCAGATAGCTGTGTCTGGTATTTTGACAGTTTCTGTTGACAAAGACACCATCTATACTGCAAGACCTCAGCCAGTCTGGCTCCCACAGAAAAGGCCAAAACAAATACCACAGAAATGTCACTGAGTGTATAGATGAGACCCTGATCTCTAGCACACACCACATACACCCAAATATGCACAAACATACAAAGCCAACACACAAACACACCCAGACACACATTTCGACAAACACAACATTTGCATAATCGTCACCTAATTTCTTGGTCTTGCCTGGTTGTCCAATGTCTCTTTGTGATGAACTACCCCAAATATACCACTGGGCCCCTTAATATGGAACTAATTGCCCAATTAGAAAGCTGTTCTGCTTGAGGTTTCTGGTACTTCTTTCAACCAGTTGATATTTCAAGTTAATCGTATTAAGCAACACTAACAACTCATTAACCTTCCAAATTTTGAGCAACAAAACAAAGCAAAAAGGAGGTATAATCTTCATGCTGATGAGGTAACTTATTGTGCTCTAATAAAGGTTTTCGGGACAACCAAAACACACAAGGATGGATGAGGCTATTTTTCCCTATGAGCATACTGATTAAATGGTATCACAGCAAAGACTTAGGAATCCCTTTTTGCAATGGAGAGCCTCCTTTTTGCTTCTCCACTCATTCAATCATTCATTTCTTTTTCTTTATGAAGTAGTAATGTAGTCTGCAGTCAGTTGTTACATTTGGAAAGATGAAAGAATTTCATCATAATAATCTTGAAAAAAGCATAATGGTGGCACAATCTTAGTTGTTTGTTACGCTGAAAGAGATTTTTTTTTCCCTTGGGTTACAGCCAAAACAAGTAAACATGAGTGAATATAGATTAAGCTCATCACAATGATTCAAAAAACATTTTCAATAGGGAGCTGCCTTTTTGCTTGTGTTCTGTGCAGTCCCTTTCTCTCATCACAGACTCACACTGTCTGCAAGTCTAGTTTTATAATTACAACTTGATTATACAGGACAAGGAATACATGTTAAGTATTGTGATCATCAGCTCATCTTGAATGTTAAATCTCACACTGGGACAAGTGAAAAAATTGCAGTCACAAAGCAGAGAAGTCTGCAGAAGACAGTTGTGCACCCTTCACATTTTTATTGAATTCTACAAACACTTTTCTGAAGCACTCTCAGAAACTCTTTTGGAATAATGTGGGGTCAGTAGATCTGATGAAGGCTCTGTCTGGTCATGACTCTAAAAATAAACATGATGCTATATACAGGGATAGGAATGGCTTAAAGATCTAAAGTTCCTTTCCCACTGAACAAAGAAACCAGTAACACCCACTAATTTCTGCCTTTTGTCTTCAGTGGGGAAGGTTACATTTGGCATTCATTCACATGACAAATAAGTCTGCAGTAGTAATGGGTATTTATCAGTGCCAGCTCTGATTGGCAGTGATGGAAACATGACACCTGGTGGACACACTATTTTTTGCCCCTTTTCCAGCTTAATTGTTGGTAACTCCTGTGACGCATTGCCAACTCAGCCATAAAATCCATCTATTTCGATCCCAGCAGTGTCGAACAACATTCCAAATTAGTCAGCACCAAGTTTGAAAGAGAGACTGAAAAAGTAACAGATATAAAAAGCAGTAACTGTCCTAACTGAGATCATCTGACCAAAAACCTATGTGTATCCTGAGGTCCAGGACTAAGTGTTCTGGGGACAGGGCTTTCTCTGTCGCTGCCACAGAACTCTGGAAATATCCTTCCCCCCACCACTGAGATTTTCAAGGGTCATTTTAAAACACACCTTTACTCACTAGCCTTTAATTGTGTGTAATATAAATGACATTTTTGCTGTACTGTCACAATGTGGTGACAGTATAAAAACAAGGAGACAGTTTTTTGCTATAGGTGCAATATTATTTATTTGATATTAGCATTCAGATGTTTGTGTTTCTCTGCATTTTTTCTTGTTTTCTGTTTTTTACCGTATGCTGTAAGAGCACTTTGGATCAACTCTGTGTTCAAAGTGCTATATAAATAAAGTTGACTTCACTTGAATAACATTTTTACTGGCCTCAATGCTGCTAATTAACCCTGTTTTCCAACGTGTTCATGACGTGGAACGTGACACGCGAGAATACAAACCAGAGAGGCTGGCAATGGGAAAGGAGTCTTTTGCCTAATTTAAGCTGTCTGTTCCAATTAAAAGAAAAAAAAAAAACACATAAAAAAAACACATACGTGCTAATATTGGTGGAAAAAGATGACAGATTTTTCAACCCTGTCTCCATTAATAGTAACCAGAGGCATCAGGAGTTTAGTCTACTAAATGATGAAAAATGTTGTATGTATCAATATGTTGACTGGCAACACAGTCTGAGGAAAAAATATTGAATCTATCCACTGGTATTTATAAGGTACACCGATCAGCCAAAACATTAAAACCATTGACAGGTGAAGTGAATAACAATGAACAATGAATTTATTACAATACAATGTTCTGCTGAAAAATCTTTGGTCCTGGCATTCATATGGATGCTCCTTTATGGACTCCACCCACCTAAACATTGTTATAGACCATTACCCCCTCTCATTGCAACAGTACCCCTGATGGCAGTAGCCCCCCAACAAGGCAATGCACCATGCCACACTGCAACACACTGTTTGTCTGCGGGAGCTGAGGTTCCTCAGTAGAGCATTACACTGTAACAAAATGATCAATGTTATTCACTTCACCTATTAGTTGTTTTAATGTTTCGGTTGATCAGTGTATAAGTTTATTGTGGAGGAAGTATGCTTCAGAAAACATTTTTACTTCCTTCTGTTGTGGAACAAAATATTGCAAGTGAACATGTCCCACTCAAAATGTAATACAAATTACCTGTATAATAAGGTCATTGTTAAAGGCTGTAAAAGCTTTTTTTTTTTTTTCTTTTTCATTTCATTTCAGGAGTTGAGGGCAAAATCAAAGAGCTTTGATGTAAGTGCCTTTTAGGTTTTATGGGAAATACTTTCCTGTCATCTATAGATTATTCCAAAAACGTTCAAATTTTCAGTTGGTTGAATGAAACATTGGTGGAGAATTGGTCGAAAGAAACAAAAACCCTCCTGTCTCATTTGGACTGAACAGTTTCCAGCTCCTTGGTTTTAGTATTGACATCAAATTGTCATCTGCAATGCTTTATCACTCCAGAAGTGTTCTTTTGTCATCATAAATTAGATCCAGCGAAGAGCTTAACTCATACAATGTTCTCCTTCCTGGAGGTTATTGTGTATTATCTCTTTTACTCCCCCTTTTGCTCCCAAACTTGTTTCTTCCTATTTACCTGCTGTGCAGGATATTGTATATCTCTTTGCTGTTGGCTGCACACAGTCTCTCCCTACCAGGAGAACACGATGATTGTCTCAAACTCAGTTCCCACTGCATCCGCTTTCACACACAGTATTTTTTGTTGTGATAGTATTACCTCCTCTGTCTCCTTCTCACTCTGAAAAATATCACTGTTGGCAGTTGAAGTCTTTTTTTAAAACTTTGTATTAAAGTTTACTTTCAATGTGTGTCACTGAACGCCCTCTCTCAAAGTCCCATAGAATAATAGTCTGTACTTGCCAGTTAATTCTGTTTGAATAATACTTACCCCCCTAATCTAACCCCAACTTTTTTTACTCCTTTTTTTTTTTTTTTGAGCCCAAATGCTGAAATTTTGGTCTGATGCCTTCGGATTAAAACAAACTTAAAATAGTGTTTATTTTTGTCACATTGAAACCTCAGACAAACGGGCTGCGTGCCTATTTTGTGTCTTAGGATACATTTAGAAACGCTGCCAGGCTCTGATTCTGTTTTGAATCCTATTCACATTGTTATTTTAAATTATTTCTGACCTATTTTATTCTATATTTCAGGATATTCTATGTGTCTCATGACTCCCAGGATCTGAAGATTTTCAGCTACATCGCTAGAGACGGACAGAGTAATGTCTTCCGCTGCAATGTCTTCAAGTCCAAAAAGAAGGTAAGACAGAGAGCAGACCTGCTTTAAAGCTTTCACTTTTGAAATGGTGAAATACCTTTGACATAAATTGTGACATAAATCCAGAGCCTGATTGAAGGCCAGGAGCTCACCCTGAGTTATCAAGTTAGAAATCTGATGTGGCCCAACTGTGATTATGTGGTCCAGTTGGATTCAGGCACAAATGCCAAACTTTAGACATTTTCACAGTGTGTCTGAAAGAGCAAACTCCTCGTTAATTTCCCATAAAGCATTGAGGTATTTGATTGTTATAGATTAGAGCCAGGATTAACCTCTGGGAAACACCAGTTATGGTCAGGTTTAAATATTTTGTTCCTGCATTGCTTCCCAGTAGTGTGATGGTAAATTAACCTGCATTTATAGAGCCCATTTCTTGTCATACGACCACTGGACCACACGCACACTGGCGGATAAGGCTACCATACAAAGTGCCACCTGCTACTCAGTTTTTAAGACACTCACACACAAATGGAACAGCCATCGGGAGCAATTTGGGGTTTAGTATCTTGCTCAAGGATACTTCGACATGCAGACTGGAGAACCGCTGATCTTCCGATTAGTGGACGACCCACTCTAGCTCTGAGCCACAGCCGCCCCTAAACTTGTTATAAACTTTAAAACAAGCAGCGTCAACTAGTCTGGGAACTGGAGGAATATGCGAGCTCATGTTTTATTTGCTGTTGTAGATACGTCTGGTCCTTCTCCTAGTCAGACAAATTTTCAGTAGGTCAAACCTGTATTGGGCCAGTCACAACAGTTTATCCAATATGAAGTGTTTTTGAGATGATGACAACTTTTGGAGCCTCTGCTCTGGCTCAAGCACCCTCACGCCGGGAAAACTATGGCAAGGATAAACCTAGACTAGTGTTTGAGCTGTAGTGTTGAGGCATTTGCGAAGACAACCAAGATGGCTGCAGCTGATGTGGAACTTTCTGTTTAAGTTGTATTTTCAGATTCTGATGGAGAAAACGGCAACAGCATTATGCTCATCTTTGTCTCTCAGATGTAAATGTCCTGCCTTTTATTCTATTTTCTGTTGGCTTTGTCAACAGACAGCAAGTTAGCAATGTTAATATCAGGAAACATAGTGCCCACTGCTCACCCTTTGGTCTCTGCTGGTTGACTAACCTTAGCGTGGGCCGCTCTGCACTGTTCACCGCCCAAGTCAGAGGGGAGCTAGCTTGCGGTGCTGCTCATTTGGCAATTCAGCAACGGTTAGAAGTGCCATCATGTGGCAGGACAGTGTTGCTGTGGAAATATCGTGGCCACCCTCCAGCCTCCCCTCAGGTAGCCCCCAGTGAGCCAATGCCTCCATTTTGAGCCACATAACACCTTCAGCACTATTAACTATGTTAGCATCACTGCCTGTGTTGATACTGCCAACAGCAGTAACAGAGCTAACAGTACTTAACAATACTAAATAGAGTTTACAGCTGAAAATTCAGCCGCTTACTCACCAGGGCAACCTGGGGGAGACCAGAGAGGGTTTCTACAATGGTTCCACAGCAAAGCTGTTTGGTCGGGACAATGTTACAAGTAGAATTCTCAAAATGAGCGGTGCAGCAAGCTAATGTTAGCTCCCTCCAGAGCTTGTGGTGCACAGTCAGCAATTATTGTTTAAGCAATAAACAGTTAACTGTTGACACACCATATTAAAAATAAGAATAAAGCATGCTTACCATCTTTATTAGAGCTTTCTTAATGATTACTGAAATTTACTGATGCACAGAAGATGAGGAAACAAAGGGCTCGAGGTGTGAGGAAAAAAAACACTTGACTTTTGTGTTTGTTTTGATTTCATATTGTATTAGAGAAGGGATTTGTGTTTTCACATGAGTTGCAATAACCAGCTCATCAAACATTGTCTCTGGAAAGATGGAAAAAGCCAGTCACTAAGTGTGTCATTTTCCAATGTTTTCACAGGCTGTTAGCCGTGTATTGTTTAAAGCAATTCCTCCTGCTCTCTTAAATCATGTCACTGTCTGAGTCACATCCTGACAACCTCCAATAAAGAGACACACGGCTGTCGAGCAGCAATAATTCCTCCCGGCACTATAGGCTTGTCATTGTTGAGGTTTGGGGAACAAGTTGAAAACCCATTTGGGATGGATGTGTTGCTGCAGAGCTGAGCTGAGCAGAGAAAGTCAAAACAGAGTCCAGCAATGTGACAAAGTTGTGCTCCCAGTTTTCCACTGTAGCTTCCAATTCACAGGACTTGATGGTAATGTCTAAGGGTTAGCTGGGTGAAACACACACTGCCTCATTATCTCTTACAGACAGACCGACATTGACATGTGAGCACACACACATACACACATTCTGTGGGGAAGACAAAATGGAAAGTGACGCATACCAAAATTCTCTGGGGCGACTATGGTCCTGTGGCCATTGAGCTGGAAACCTGTGTGTGTGTGTGTGTGTGTGTGTGTGTGTGTGTGTATTGGGTGAGATTATTTTTTAATTGGGGAGCACCACTATGTTTTACAGTTACAACTCATTAATTACTCTCAACCTCTGGATGATATTTCTGAGCATTTATCAGTTTGTCAGCATTGTTAAAAAAGGCACTGTTTTTATTGAAACTTAAGGCACCTGCTAAGGTTTTTTTTTAACAGTGATAATAGAAAGTTTATAAGAAGGTTTGTAAACATTATTTGGAGTGCCTGGTGATTGACAGAAGACAGAGCAGGAGCACCCTGCACTGTGGAAAAAAATGATGCTGCTACAGCACATAAAGTAAACAAAAGTTTATTTATTTTATATTTTTTTATTTTTAGTTAGTGTTCTTTAGCCCACAGAGGAAGACAGAAGTAGAAAGAGAAGAGACAATCAGCTGCTATGTTGATGTTTCTCCTTTTCTTCAATAATAGATTTTTTTTAACAAAGAAACAAAAACACTGTAATTTAGACAGCAAATGTATTATTTATATTTGAAAACGTTTTGGCCCCAAAAGAAGAACAATTAAATGATTCAAGCTTCCACATCGCAGATGCCCCCACAATTTAGGATGATATGGGAGAAAACTGTTGGAACGTGGATTTTACATTTATGTAGAGCCCAGAGAAATGTCAGTGACCCTCGATCATTATTGAACCACAACAGTGCAATTAGGCTCTAAATATTGAGTTTGTCTGTTTTTCTTGGGGCCACCAAAACCAGAGGAGAAACAATGCGCTGCTGCCATGAACGAATCTCCGGCTTCCGGTGTGGTCGGGAATTATGAAGGCCAAGCCCTTTGCTCAGCCAATCTAGCAGCAGTGATGTCACGATCGTTATCAAATCTCCTCACACCTCTCAACACAAAACACATGGTCTCTGGACAGAAAGAGAGGTCTAACTCTCCACTAAAACAGACAGATCATAATGCACATATACAGTACAGGCCAAAAGTTTGGACACACCTTCTCATTCAATGCGTTTTCTTTATTTTCATGACTATTTACATTGTAGATTCTCACTGAAGGCATCAAAACTATGAATGAACACATGTGGAGTTATGTACTTAACAAAAAAAGGTGAAATAACTGAAAACATGTTTTATATTCTAGTTTCTTCAAAATAGCCACCCTTTGCTCTGATTACTGCTTTGCACACTCTTGGCATTCTCTCCATGAGCTTCAAGAGGTAGTCACCTGAAATGGTTTTCCAACAGTCTTGAAGGAGTTCCCAGAGGTGTTTAGCACTTGTTGGCCCCTTTGCCTTCACTCTGCGGTCCAGCTCACCCCAAACCATCTAGATTGGGTTCAGGTCCGGTGACTGTGGAGGCCAGGTCATCTGCCGCAGCACTCCATCACTCTCCTTCTTGGTCAAATAGCCCTTACACAGCCTGGAGGTGTGTTTGGGGTCATTGTCCTGTTGAAAAATAAATGATCGTCCAACTAAACGCAAACCGGATGGGATGGCATGTCGCTGCAGGATGCTGTGGTAGCCATGCTGGTTCAGTGTGCCTTCAATTTTGAATAAATCCCCAACAGTGTCACCAGCAAAACACCCCCACACCATCACACCTCCTCCTCCATGCTTCACAGTGGGAACCAGGCATGTGGAATCCATCCGTTCACCTTTTCTGCGTCTCACAAAGACACGGCGGTTGGAACCAAAGATCCCAAATTTGGACTCATCAGACCAAAGCACAGATTTCCACTGGTCTAATGTCCATTCCTTGTGTTTCTTGGCCCAAACAAATCTCTTCTGCTTGTTGCCTCTACTTAGCAGTGGTTTCCTAGCAGCTATTTGACCATGAAGGCCTGATTCGCGCAGTCTCCTCTTAACAGTTGTTCTAGAGATGGGTCTGCTGCTAGAACTCTGTGTGGCATTCATCTGGTCTCTGATCTGAGCTGCTGTTAACTTGCAATTTCTGAGGCTGGTGACTCGGATGAACTTATCCTCAGAAGCAGAGGTGACTCTTGGTCTTCCTTTCCTGGGTAGGTCCTCATGTGTGCCAGTTTCGTTGTAGCGCTTGATGGTTTTTGCGACTCCACTTGGGGACACATTTAAAGTTTTTGCAATTTTCCGGACTGACTGACCTTCATTTCTTAAAGTAATGATGGCCACTCGTTTTTCTTTAGTTAGCTGATTGGTTCTTGCCATAATATGAATTTTAACAGTTGTCCAATAGGGCTGTCGGCTGTGTATTAACCTGACTTCTGCACAACACAACTGATGGTCCCAACCCCATTGATAAAGCAAGAAATTCCACTAATTAACCCTGATAAGGCACACCTGTGAAGTGGAAACCATTTCAGGTGACTACCTCTTGAAGCTCATGGAGAGAATGCCAAGAGTGTGCAAAGCAGTAATCAGAGCAAAGGGTGGCTATTTTGAAGAAACTAGAATATAAAACATGTTTTCAGTTATTTCACCTTTTTTTGTTAAGTACATAACTCCACATGTGTTCATTCATAGTTTTGATGCCTTCAGTGAGAATCTACAATGTAAATAGTCATGAAAATAAAGAAAACGCATTGAATGAGAAGGTGTG